GCGTTCATCCAGATACTGATATCTGTCAGACAAGCTTCCAGACTTTCTGAGACTGTATTCCAACTGTCCTGTGGTTTTATGACCATGTAAATTTGTGTGTCATCAGCATAGCAATGATAGCGAAGGCTATGGCGACGACAAATCTCTCCAATCGGTTTGGAGTACATACAATATTTTCGTGGTCCTAACACCGACCCTTGAGGAACCCCGAAATCTAGTACTTTGTCATGTGAGGTGGCAGATCCGATGGCAACACAATGTCGTCGTTCACTCAGGTATGACTGTATCCAGCATAGTGCGGTATCAGCCACTCCATAAGAGTATTCCGGACATTCCATTTGGTCTCACAGTTATCACCTTAGTTTGCAGAGGTGCGTGTTTCTCTAAAAGGGCTTCTATACCAAATGTGTATGCTTCAACAAGATCATCAACCTTGCCTTCAGTAGATTGAAGGTCGGAACAAGACTGAATGTCATTGTTGAAATCTGGTATTGAAATTTCGCAGAATTTCCGGAAGCTCACTTCTTTCCTTGCACGAGCTGGCTTACTACAATTCAGTGTTGTGTGGACAGCAAGATGATCACCAGATTGGTTCCCCTTTACATCACTTAGACATGGATCAATGACTGAAATAGCTCCATGAATGACTGAGTTATCTTCCCTCGTTATGACCACATCCAGTGTGTGGCCATGGGTGTGTGTAGCTTCTGTCACATGCTGAATCAGACCCCTGGAATCTAGTAGACCAGAGAACTGGCGAGCATCAACATTAGATAGATCGTCTAAGTGGAAATTTAGATCACCCGTGATAATAATCTCTTGTGGTACAACAACTTGGTGGTCTAAAAAGGTAGACCATTCATCAAAAAACACTGAATTTCGGAAAGCATTCTGTTTAGATGGTGGAGGCCTGTAAATGATACACAATCTAAATTGTTTATCACCAGCAATGACAGAACAAGTCATGTGCTCAAAGTGTGTGTATACATCATCATGGCTGGAAGAGAGATGTCTCACACTTAGGCCTTTCTTAAACAGAACAGCCACCCCACCACCACGTTTGCCGAGTCTAGCATTGTGGTG